GCGGCGGCTCGGCCCAGCGGCCCCGCAGCAGGGCGGCCAGCGGGCAGCGGGCGGGCGCCCCGCTCCCGGCCAGCAGCGCCGCCAAGCCCGCGGGACACAAGCGGGGCTCCGGGGCCTCTCGACGGGGCACCGAGACGAAGCGCGGGCAAGGCCGGCGGGCAGGGAGCTGCGGCCGCAGGAAGGGGCTGGAGAGCAGAGCTGACAGCGAGGAGAGGGGCCTGGCAGGCCTCGGAGTCTGCGGCGAGCGGGGGAGGTGTGGGAGCGCAGGGACGGGGCGGGAAGAGAGAGAGAGAAAGAAAGAGAAACACAGAGTGAGCATCACCGAGGGGGCAGGCGGGGGCCCCGCACACCCAGCAGAGCCCCGCAGTGCTAAGACGAGGGTTGGAGTGCTGGCAGCCGTGAGCTCACACCCTGCTGCCCTCGCACCCCCCTTGTCCCCGCGTACATTCAGTCTTTTTAACTTTCCTAGGTCGGTCCTTCAGGTCAGGGCCGGAGGACAGCTCTCAGTGCCCATTAGGGTTCGGGTCTGGCCATACTGCCAGAGGAGCACGGGAACGAATTTTGCCACTTACAACCTACACCCAAAGAGCACCCCCCCAAAAAATCCCCACCCGAAAAGCCGACCGCAGACGGCGGCCGGAGCTGCGGCGGGGAGCGGAATGGAGGCATCTGTCCAGGGTCCTGAACCCGCCCCGCCGCCTCCCGCCACGGCCGGGGAGCTCGGCGGGCCCGCCCTGATCTGCGAGCGCCGGGTGGCGCGACCTTGCCCTTCCTCGCTGAGTGCCATTGTCCTGCAGAGAAGGAGCCACCTTGATGGAGCACGGGCCCTGAGCAGGAACGGACAAAAATCACTGTTCTGCTTCCCTTTTCTCCAGCAATGATTTCTACCTGGTTTTTTTTGGGATTTCAGGATTTCATCAAGGTTTCATCAAGACCGTCCCAAAACATTGTCCCTATTTCTGGCCTACAACCAGACATCAAAGGGACAGAGAGGAATTGAAGTCTACACAGTGTGAAGATAGCCCTTCCCACCGTGATGGTGCTGCCCTTGAAGGCCAAAGGCACTGCTACAGCAATGGGGAACACGACTGTGGTGCCATTGATGCCAGGGAAGGCGCTTGCTAGAGCTGAAACCAGCGGGGAAAGCTGCCATTCCTACACAGAAGGAGAGCTTGCTGTTGCTTAGCAGCAGAGAGTTCCCCTAGGTCTGTTTGGAGAGGTGAACTATGACAGAAACTGGACAATGTTCCCAGGAGATCAGAAAAAATAGAAAAGTTGATTCCCACCCCAAAAGTTGATTCCCACCCCAAAACCCCACTCAGTGTTCCCCCTGCCTGGTGGCAAGGAGCCCTTCTGCAAAGCTCTGCCCTTTTGGTTGTGGCAGAAAGCATAGAACTGATGTTGAACAATTTTCTGTGCCAATCTACAATTGCCGAGGCCCAGACAGCACCTATGGAGATATTATAGGTTTGACAGGTAGGATTAAATGATACTGCCTTGTTCCTTGGCAGGGAAAAGGGGACAAAGTCTCAGTAAGTGTACTAAGGTCATTGTTTATGTGGTTTAAGACCAAGCTCAAAACACCAGTTAACACCACTAGCCTTTGAATTCAGCTTTTGGTCACTCCACCAGGACAGGCAGTCATTTCTCAGGCTGGTGAGTAAATGTGACTCCCCTAAGACCTCTCTAGACTATGGTCCCAGGTGGCATCCTAAATCTTAGCAGGAACGCTTGATCAAGTTCAGGTTTAAAGTGCTGCCAGAATGTAAATGTTGGAAGGTATGTTCTTGCTCCATTATCCTTTCCGTTTGTCTCAGGACAGTCATGATCTGTTGTTCCTGCCAACAAGCAGCGGGTTTGGAATGAAGTGATCTTTAAGGTCCCTTCCAAACCAAACCATTCCATGGTTCTAGCAGACATCTTATTAAAGAAGGCTATACAGTTTTTTTCAGAATTCATGACACACAGTGATGGTGGGTAGTACTGTATAAAAATATGGTATTTATGCTCCCTAGCATGAATGGTGGTAGATAAAGAAAGCCACCTAAGCTAAATATCTTCCAGTGATTGGGGTTTGTAGGCAACTCTGTCTTGCCTGGTAGGCAGGTACCTCTGCATCACTGCATGTGTACACAGCCACATCCTGAAACAGCTGAGTGGTGTGGCAGCATAAAGTCCTCACAAAAGTGTTAACGTAGTCATCTTCTCCTCCTTTCCCCGTGAATGATGGATGCAGGCTGATGCCCAGCTGCACAAGACAGAACTGCATAAACAAGGGCTTGGACTTTGATGAAATGGCGCTTAGAATTGAGAGAGCTGAGAGACCCAGACTGGAACCCTTTCTCTCCCTAAAGGAATGTGAGTATGCATTTCTCATGCCTGAAAGAAAATTCCCTCAGTCATCACAGCAGCTTCCTCTGCATGTGTCTCTGTGACCTTACTCTTGATCCCCTCTACTGCTCTACTTTGTCCAGGTTAAATCAACTTTACTGGGACAGAGGCAAAGCAAAATGTCAGTCTAGCAAGGCTCAGGAGTATTTGACCTTGCACTTATTTGTTTCAAAAAATAAGTTATGGAAAATTGAGAGCTTACATGTGAGCTGTGCTACTTTGTCCAGGTTAAATCAACTTTACTGGGACAGAGGCAAAGCAAAATGTCAGTCTAGCAAGGCTCAGGAGTATTTGACCTTGCACTTATTTCTGTTTCAAAAAATAAGTTATGGAAAATTGGGAGCTTACATGTGAGCTGCACATTCAATATAATTATCCCATATAGGGGCACATTTTTCTGTAACACACATGGTAAATAACAGATCAGGAGATCTGGTTTCAATATCGGTTTTATCTACCAGTATCTCAGGTATTAGAAAACACACCTCCACCCTTTACTTGACTTTTCTGACTATTTCACATTAGACTCATGAGCTTCTGATAAACTTTTAGGAGGAGATTCTATCCCACATGGAGTAGTTTTTTTAATTTTATTTTAAGTCAGAAAGTGATGGCTTTATATGAGGGTACCTCTGATATTTAATATTGTCTCTTTGGATGTTTCTTAGACTCCACTCTCCCTCTTTCTGCAAACTTGTCCAGTTAATACGTTTTCCTAATTTTGCCTTTGTGGAAATGAAGAAATCTGTTATTATTCTTATTTATTTTATTTTTTTTAGTGAAAACTTGTATGGCACCTTTTTATTTTTTCTTTTTAATTTGTTCTCATTATTCAGAGCAGGTGATAAGAAAGATAATACAGAACATGTATCTGTATTTTAATAACACTGCATTCCTTGCAGTCACACGTCAGTGTGACATAATGCCCATACCAGCTCTTTTGGGGCCTGTTTGCCTTTAAGGTGTGAGGGCTGATTGCTGTCTCATACCTGAACTTCTGCTCCCTGCCCAAGGAGAGGTCATACACATTTCTATGGCAGCTTTTGTGTTCTAGTCTATTTCAGTGTTTCCTGCTCCCTTAAATTGTTAAAAAGAGAGCTTCTAGACCATTGAATGGAGCTGATTCATAGTGAATTAGGGAGCAATTCAAACAGAGAGTAAGAAGCCATTTTTTACCTTTTTCATTGACATTAAAGTGCACTTGTTACAAATAATTTTGAAGACTGATAGGTTTTCTGGGAAAGGAGATATTTTCAGCAGGAGAATGAGTTTCCAGGGACTTCAGCTGAACTTCAATTTTTTTTACGTATCAGCAGTATTCTAGTATTTGCTTTCCCTTACCCCCTGATAAAAATAAAAAATGTAAAAAAACAAAAAAGAAGATGTATTTAAATAACCCTACTTTGAAGTGAACATAATACCAATGATAATATGGGAAGCAGCTTTGCTGAACTCTTAAATATCTGTGTTTTTTCAACATCAGTTTCTTACAGGCATAAGCCACTTTTCTTTATGGATCTCTCAGTAGATGGTTTCAAGTAGAAAATATAGGTTCAAAGCTGATGAGAGGAAGAATAAACTGGCATCTTCAAACATGTAAGACCAACTATAGACTACTATGGTCCCACAGAGTATTAACTAAATTGTCTCCTGTGTGCAGAGATGCCTGTTAGTATTAATTTTTCATCAACACTGATAGTGGTGTGTTAATTAATCAGTAGAATTTACTTTGTGTAAGCCAAAGTGTGAAAGCCCCACTGTCATGTCATTCATGCAGTCACAGGGTGCCTCTTAGTCTTTTTCTGGAGGATTAGATTTCCTCAAGATCTGATGCTAAAACCTGTGATTGCATTACATTAGGGCGACAGGTTGACAGGTTATCAGAATGGTTAGATGTGATTTAGATCTCAGTGCAGTCAAAATTTTTTGCAGCTGGTGGCTCTGCTTAGTGCTTTGATAATTATTTCATCACTGTAAGGTCATTTTCTAGCGTGATGTATTTTCTCAGGGTTGTCCAGTCCCATATGTATGTTCTGACAAAACCCTTAGCTTCTGTATTTGTATCAGTCAGTGTCTGCTCCAAAGCTGCAGGAAGCCTCTGCTGTCTCTGCTCACAACTCTGTTTCTTTTCTACTCCGACATATCACATCTTTATTACTTCTAAGGCAGAGGAAACCTAAAGAGAAATAACATTTAAGATGGAATTCAATATTAGAGCTAAGGATGTGTTCTCCAGTCATACTGAATTGGCACTGAATGCTGGGTTTCAGAGGGTCAGAGTCAGCTCAGTGATGGTTCTACTCCCCATTCTGGCCCAGTCCAGCTGATGGGTGTGGGCTCTGTGGGGTTTGTGAGCCCTTGGCCTGCTCTGTGGCCCAACTCCTGCTTAAAATCCTTGGTGATGCAGAGTTTCTGGCAGATTTACAGACTACACAGGAATGTGGTGGCTTGGGCAGAGAAGGTCTAATTAGAAACTGCAATGTGATACACACAAAAATGAAATCTTTGCTGAAGTGCAAGTGCACTAAGAAACTCTGTCATTCGTTTAATTTGTCATGTTTGGCAGATTGAATCTTCACAATATTCTCTGATCCTCTCTCTTGATGTATGACATTAAATAATTAAAAATAGAATGTCAACCCAAATGCATACCTTTTGTTTTAAACCATGAGGTTAGCATACATCTATAATTCTATCCTCTATTTTTTCCCCCCATAAACCTTTGAATTATTTGGAATAATTGAAAACTATTACAGGTACAGCTTGATTTAAAAAGAAAAATCTTTTTTATCACGACCATGTTCTGTTAGTGTGTGTGCCAGCGACATGACAGACCCTGTAGGAAGTCTCTGGTCAAAATGTTGATCAGAAAGAGATTTGCTTCTGCATACAAAAAATTGTGAGTTTCCAGATGATGGAGGAAGCAGCTCAGGGATGCTCATTACAAGCTTCCAGAAGGTGTCACTGTGCACCTACACATGGGGAACCTCAACATTTAAGGATTGGTGCCAAAGTACTATTCCTCCTTGTGCTATTAGGGCTCCTCTTCTCTGCCCATTTGGAAATTAAATGATCGATTGGAGGACAATATTTCTCTTTTTTCATGATAGAAAAAGTAAAAATATCTCCATAGTATCACTGTCACTCAAGAGGTACCTATCCAACCGTGACGAGCAGAAGTATCTCTGATATTCTGGGTCACACATAACCTAATTATTACACAGGATTCTTACTTGCAAGGTAATAAATATAATAAAATTAAAGAGGAAATCAAAGTTGCTATGAATGCAATTTTTAGGTCTTATAGAGCAGTTTGTAGTTACGTTCCAGAGCTGATTTAGACAGGAAGATTAACGGGGCAATTTGCAACCAGTGTCCCTGAACAGATCGAGGTTTCAGAGTCTTTGAGTAGTTCAAAGAGAGTCTGAAAGCCCGGTTGCACAAGGTGGCTGTACAGTAACATTCCAGCTTGACAAGATTTCTGAGGAAGACACTGTGATTTTTGCCATTAATTTTCATCAGGTTTTGGACCTTATAAAATATGGATCAATTGGAAAATTATGCAGCCATGTTAAAAGACTGATGAGAGAAAATATAATGCACTTGTAGGACTAGTGGTGGAAAAGATGAAAGGAGAAATACACTATAATTCCTTTGAAAAAGAAGAACAAAAGAATAAAGAACAGGCAATGAGAGACTGCTGAAGAGTATGAGGTTAAAGGGCAGTATCAATGAGAATGTTGCAGGCTGGTGCTGCCTGGAGACAAAACTCTGTATTTGACTCATTGCAAACTAGATTGAGCTGGTGCCCAGGAGTATTTATCCAGCATCTTAAAAAGACATATGAATGATGATGAGAGGAAAATGAGCTGATTTGATAAGAATAACACCAAGAAGAAGCTGTGAATGTATTTTGAGAAAGGGAAGACTTCAGGTGTTATCTATCCCAGTGTACTGATTTATCAGTGGCACCAAACACTCTTTTAAAGAGATCAGGTTATCCCTGTTATGCAGAAGTGAGTATGCCTGTGGAAGTGAACAGAAAGCCCTGGAGTTTCCTTGAACAATCTCTCACTAACATTTATTTCAGCGATGTCTTATGTGATTTTGCCCCTATAGGAGTATCTGCCTAGATTAGAGAGACTGTAATTACAGAGAGCCCAAGTCACTGGGTGAATGCTGTGCTTGCTTTAGGCTTGAAGCAGCATCACAAATGGTATCAGTTCCCACGCCTCCCACCGCAGATACCGAGTTATAAGTTAAAGACAGAGGATCTCAAGTAGACAAAGGAATAAAGAAACAAACAAAAAACTCCAAACAAACACAACCCCAGCAAATGTGCCAATAAAAACAATAACAAAAAACACCAACAAAAAACCAACTCAGACTTACTGAGCTTTTGAGGAAGGCACTTTATATGTTCCTGTGAAACCACATTTCTCCTGTTTGATGTACAGAGAGGCTGACCCTCTATTCTGCAGGCTGGGATTTTTCTCTGGCTACTCCAGGGCTATCTATCGTATTTCCCTGCACTGCACTTTGTTTTGCACTCTAGAATTGTTCTGAGAGAGGAAGAACAGCACTCCTGATGGATAGAATTTTGGACATTCCTATTTTTGTGTCCCATTTTTGTGCATCACTGTTCAAATCAACTCACTGACACACTTGAAACTTGTTCTCCTCCATTACACTACTGCTTTTAAAGATCATGTTCTCATCCTGGGCAGACAAAATGTTTCTTCCAACCTCTTTTCTGCAATTCATTTCAACCATACCTCCTGACCAAACCCAGAAAATACAAGGTGGGACTGAAATTGTCCTGTCTGCAATAGCCTAACCTCTTCTTCTGTTCTGTAACACCTCTAACTTATTTCTCCTGATGATTAGGAAAGGTTGGTAGGAACCTGCTTAAAGTGTGCCGGTTTAGAACCCAGAGGGATGAATGAGAGAGCATAGTTTCTTTGTGAGTCTGAAACAGTTTTATAACCAGAGCTTGCCACTGTTTTCCAGGTAAGACACTATTTTTGTACTGAAATGAAGCGCAGGCATTTAACTGCACAGAGTCTGTATGAACAGA